CCGCGGAACCACGATACGCCGCCGAGGCGAAACTAGAGGACCATAACCGACCCGTCATTCATAAAAAAAAGAGGAGTAAGTAAGGTAAGGTGAGACGGTGTCTTCGCGAGTAACTTGCGCATCGTTTGTAGGTATTGTAGGTGGTGCGCCGCGGAGCGTCGCGACGCCCCCCCCCCCCCCCCCNGGGGGAACCGACGGTACCGGCCGCGAGCCGCGGTGGATAATGGTTCTGGTCTTGAACGACCATTGACTGCAATTAACCCGATGGTCTGACGGACTCGGATCCGAGGACTCCTGAGTCCTAATATCAACGGATAAAAAGGAGGAATCGTTGCTTCTACAAAACTGATGCTGCCGTGCTAAGTAAGAACGTCGTATGATCATTCGAGAGTTGCCAAAGTTCCTTCGATAAAATGTTTATTTTATAGGAGAATTATGAGGGTGTCTAGTATTTTTTAATTTTGAAAAATCCCGATATTTTCCTGATTTTTCCTGACATTTTATAAAAAATTCCTGATTTTTTCATTTTGAAAATTCCTGATATTTTCCTGATTTTTCTCGACTCCTGGCACGGTAGGCAAAAAGCAGTAAGACTTGCTCCGCTGAGGAGATTCGCGTAAGAAAAATTCCTGACAAAACGTCCGATTTTTCCAATTTTCCTGATATTTTCCTGATTTTTTCCTGATCGGCCAAAATTCCTAATATTTTCCGGTTTTTCCTGATGCTAGACACTCTGATTATGAATATTTTCCCTTGAAATTAGACGTTTTAGATCACATTACAAACCAAATTATCTGCGATTTTGGTAGACAAATATTAGCAATGCCAGTATCTTAACCGGAACCAAATTGAGAATTTCTACAAAAGTAGCATCATAACCAGTGGAGTAGTGAGACGAGGGGTACTCTGAATACGTAGCCCCCATGAGTAAACAATTTTACTAAAAAGTATCATTTTACGTTGGTTACAAAACGGTTGGACACCTCTGAAGAAAACAGTCTTCCTTTCTGCAGGTGATATTTTGGAAAGAAAATGACTATGTCCAGTGCAATTACTTCATTATTGAAGCAAGAGAATAAGAACCAAGTGTATTTTAGATCTTGTCAAAAACTTTACCGATCCTACTGATACTCAAGTTCTGCTATGTTTCCCTCATTTAGATGTCTACACAAGAACTCGAAAGATTTGCTAGAATTACATCAATTCTGAAATCCTTGAGTTGTTGAATTAGACTTAATTTTGCAGATCATTGTGAGTATTTGCGTTAAAAATACTTACTGTGGGAAAGTAAACGAATTGAATAATTTGAAATTTTAGAGAATACTCATGTCAAAAACTTCGGCTGGTTTTCGGCGAAAGAAAAATCTGAATTGTGATTACGGTGTTAGGAAAAGAGAAAAGGAAGAAAGAAATTATGCATTCGTTAGTTGAAAAATGCAAAAATTCAATTTGAGGACATCAAAACCCTCTGGAACCATATTTAGAATTTGTAAAGACTCAACAAGCTTCGCTCAAGAAGGATTAGTCAAGACAGCATACATCCAATTGAACAGAGAAACGAAAAAAGAACATGAATGATAATATCAGTCCACACAAAACTTCCAGACAATATTTGTGTTTGAACTTTGGTAAACCACCTTTTTTTCAAGACAAGGTATTTCCATAAATGCAAAACACATTGACTGGTTAGATGCAAACACATGAAAGTTTAACATATCAGCACAAATCATGAAATGCCACCTTTAAAAGTTACGAGCAACTGTTATAGACAAAATACGTATGGCAGACAAAATATGAAGCGCACAAATGAGATGAGAATGAAGCTTCTCGACACAAATTAAGACGACCCGGAAAAGAAAATGAAGACTGCATGAAAGAAAGAACGAAAATGTATGAGATAAAAAATAAACTGTCGGAGGTTAGTGTCGTGAAAACATTTGAATCAGCACCCTCACATTACTCAAAATAAGACAGATTTTTTCTGTGTTTACCTGGCTGTGGCTCATACGAGTAGAATGGAGATGAGGAAGGCGAAGAGGGGACCTCTCTTAAAACAGGTTCTATAGAAAGATACATCATGCATGACAATTAAAAAGCTTACATCACGATACCATGTTGCTAAATAATACTGAAGCTTAAAGTAGGCACATAATGTAAAACAATTCTTTCAAAAGAAAATAAAAGTCTAGTGTGCAAATAGATTTGTATCGTTGAAAAAAGAGGGTGTCAAAGCCTAAAAGGCACCAAGTCAGTCTATCTGTATTTCATTGACAATGCTAGAAGGAGCCTAGACTTAAAAATTCGATTCAGTGCCTCCTTGCACCACAGTAAAGTGAAGTTTCAAGTTTGAAGGTGAGGTGGACTGACTTGCGAGATTCATTCAGTCACGAAGGGGAAAAGATGGGATGTAGGCAACAAGACTATCCTGCGATTTTTCAAATCAATTTTTCAAATCAATTTTTAAAATCAATTTTTAAAAAATTTGATTTGAGCGATAAATTACTCTCTCAAAGGATAAATATCGTAATACCTTTTAGAATGATAACGAGCTTTAGAAGTGTAAACTATTAAAAGAAAAGAATAGAATTAAAAATCGGATTCTACTGGTTACATTATAAGTTTACCTATAGATAAAATTAAAAATTGAAGAATATTATTCTTCCTATTTCAATACGGAATTATGATACTTCTCAGAGACAAATTGTAAATTGGATACTCCAAGCCCACAAAATGAAAATTGAATTCAAGGATCTACAGACCATCCAAGGCGAGGAAGGGTTGGGAAGAATATTGATTCCAAGGAATCTATGTCTAAATGGCTGCATAAAAAACCCGATGAAGTAAGAGACATTGATGTATTCAACTCTCACGGGAAAATGTATTGCAGGGGGCACCTAATGAACAGCCTTCCAGAGAGAAATTTTGGAGAGGTCAATTTTTGATGGACAGGTAACTTGAAAATTCAACAAGTATCTAACAGAATCAAAAACTCATGAAATCCATGTATGTTCTTGGTTTTAAGGGAAAATTGACCTACTTATTGACGAGCTGTTGATGACTATCTAATTGATGTAAGGCAGATTTTGCATGACACAGATTGAAATGAATTAGGTTTTTGTGAGTTCGTTTTGCAATTACACTGAAAGATAGATATTGAGATAAAGACTTGTAAAGTTAATAAAATGGTAAGATAAAATAGGCACCTTTGAAAGTGACAGTTGGTTTGGAATGGAAGTACTTGCACCAAAAGTGAGGATCATTTCTCCAGTGCCGGAATCTACTGTTCAATCGAGGAGAATACTCCGGTGTAGGTGGCTGATACCGGAATGTTGGCTGATGGATTGAAGGATCGAATTTTTGCTGAGCAAACATGTCCTTTGATTGTTTCAAGATTGATAATTGTCTCTTCCGAGTTGGGGAGGCTGACTGTGGTCTAGGTTTCAATGAATACATAGGGCTGTGCTTCGAGTCGGTGTCTGGCGAAGACAATGATCTGGCATGATACGTCGGATCAGGATGCTGATGAGCTATCCACTGACATTCAAGATACGGTGCTATTTCGTTCAGTTCTCGAATATTTGGGGCTGAGGTGTACATTTGACCCATTAATGAAACATTACTCAATGATGGCTTCTTTTCAAACATGCGTCTTATTCGATCAACAGCCCCTGGCGGTAACTTTATTTCAGTTGTCCGGTACGGTCGCTGGGCTACAGTTGGACGAGATTTAGCCTGTAAGGATGCAGATTTACTTATTATATTGATATGTGGCATGTAGCGATTCCTCATCAAGCTTTTAGGAGATATCGGTCTGTACCTTGTTCTTTGCCGCCTTGGATTGGTGATGGTTTCATACTTATTTCTCAAGAACTGTACGTCTCCACTTTCACAGTCTCTCACACTATGAGATCTACATCTGTCACTTTGGGATAACATATTGCGTGTGAGCTCTGGATCGCTTTGGAATCTTTTCAATGACACCCATGATGATGAGCAATGGCTGTCCAGTTCATCTAAACTTTCAAATCGGTCTCTTAGTTTTCTAACATCTCCTGATTTCACCATATTCAAATATGCGCGATAGTATTTCATCGGATCAGGAGTGGTGCTTCTAGATCTAAATATACTTTCTTCGCTGCTGACAGTTGGCAAGGATTTAGGACGTGCAGCATCTGATAAGGAAGTAATTGATTGAGTTGGGGATCGAGGAGGATAATTCTGATATAATTGTCTTTCGCCAAAAATCTCTTTAAAATCTGCAAAAGATTGAGATGGGCATACATTCCTATTTTCTTTTGTTTTTTCCTTCCTGCAAACCACGGAGTTACCTGAGTCCAGATGGATACTCCGGCTGCTTGATTCTTCGACATTTAAATAAGTTTTCAGCAGGTTCCCACTGTCAGGCGAATGACTTTTAGCTTTCTCGACATTTTCACGATTACCCAAATGAATAACTGTGGAGGCATCTGAGCTACCACTCTCTGTTTCAGAATTTGATACAACATGAGTTCCTGCATGAGATTCAACATGCATTTTTGATTCTTTACAAATTTCTTGATCATGACTGGGTTTCAAAACTAGCATATAATTATTTTGATTATCCTCGGTGGTTGCGCAGTGCTGACTCTCCAAATCTGAAATTTCCATGGAGTAACAAGTTCTCGGAGAGGAAACGGAAGATATAGAGCAACCTGCAGATGGCACCTTTTTATAGCTTTTGATAGACGCAACTGCTCCCAAAGTTTCTCTGGGTATGACTAAGCTGCCTGAGTGTCGTTTTTTCTTCATACTATTTTTTTTCGTAACTCTATCCAAAACTTCATGGCTGAGTTTCATTGATATTTTTTTCTTGTCTGTCTCCGATAAAAAAGGTTTTTCACCTGCACTTTTCCAACTGGGAATGGAGCCGATAGAGTTAGATTTCATGCACTCACTTCGCTTGCTTTCTTTTTTTCGAACCAAAGGGGAATAAGTTTGGTCTCGAGTTAAGAGAGAATTGCAGCGAACATGCAAAACACTGTCTTGAGGCTCAGGAAAAGATTGAGTTGGTTTTTTCACTGCTGTGACTTCAATTTCATAATTTTCTTTACCTTTGTTCACCCGATTTTGTAACATTTTATTTATGCGCTCTCTTTTTAAGCTAGAGACAGTGCTGTATATTTCATTCAGTTGAGATTTCAATGCATTGACCTGATCCATAGACAAGCTACTCCAGAGTCTTGATCCAATATATTTACCGTACTTCATGCTTGACGGTCTTGGAATGGTGGATGCAGATCTTTCAACTTGAGACACGGGCCTTCCATGGCGAGAACTTGTTGAGGAAGCCAGACTACTAGCTAGATCAACAACAGAGGATCCTCTCCATAAAGGTTTGTAAGTATCTCTCTCTATTGAAAAACTTCCACTTTTTGAAAGGCTCCTTTCTCTGTTCATTTTATAGAACTGCTGTTTAATGTCTTCCACTGATTTTTCACGACTTTTTAGTCCTCTATCTCTATCAATTTTCCATCGAAAAGAGTCGATGTCCTTTGGCTGGAAGACCAAGTCTTTTTCTTTTTGATCCTCTTTGAGCCTTCGGTACAACGCTTTCAACTCTTCTTCTGCTTTTTCTTTCTTTCTTAAGCTCTGCCACCGGTCAAAATCGATAATTTCTTCATTCTTCAATCTGGGTCTCAAGTCGTTATTGGAGGCAGTTTGTTCAAGCTGGCCTAGTCTTTCGAGATTTTTATAAAACTTGTGCAGTTCTTTAAACCTTTCGCACTTTTTAGTCGAATGCATGAGCTCCAGAACATAGGCTTGATAATCAGTGTAATCATTTAGCTGAGACAAACTCGATGAGCTGAGGCTTTTGATATTTCTAAAATGTTTCTCTTGGAGAGGACTCTTTTGTAACTTTTTGGCTCCGGCCTTCTTGTTGAGGGATTCTGACTCAGCATCTGAACACTTCACGGATGATTTGGCACTTTGAATTCGACGAGAAGATGGTGATCGAGAATGAGATGAGTTTAATCGATCGGAAGTAAGCAAAGCACTTTTTAGTCCGCAGCAAAGAGGACTGGGGGCATTTGAATCATTATCATCAGATGGAGAAGACATAGGCGGTTCACTGGAGGACCTGCCTTTCAACACTGGAGGGCTTTCATGGCGGAAATATGATCGCGAACCTGCCCGTGACCATACATTATCTACATCAAATTTTTCAATTTTGTCCAAAAATTCAGCTCGTCGAAAAGAATAACTTGGGCTCAAAGAGCGACTGCTTATCTTGGATCTTAAATCTTGGTCTAAGCTTTTGAATTTTGATTCGGAGACTGGTTTTTTGTGAGCTAAATAAATGTTTAGAAGTCTCAGAGATGGTTCCGATTTGTAACTAATCTTGTTCTCCTCCTTATACAAGCTTCTCGTTCTTTCTATCACAGAAGGTGAGCGATAGATGGATCCAATGCTAGAGGGCGTTGGAGATATTGCTACACGCAGCGGAGCATTTTGAACCGATTCACACTGAAGAGATGAATGTTTCAGATCATTTGAGAGATCACTGAAAGCAACAGGCTCATTCGAAACACTTGGAGGCCGAGTTTGGACAATTTTGATGTCTATAGAATGAATGGAGTTATTAGCGGCACCTTCACTTTTCTTGGTTTTGCCATCTTCGGCTTGAGATTCTGTGTCACTTTTAACCTTTCGCACTTTCTTTTTTCCATTTTTAGGGCTTTTGCTCCTGGAATGTTTATCAGTTGTTGATTTGAGAAGGGATTGCTTTTCAGCTAAGATTTCTGCACTACTTTGCTGCTTTGAAACGTCTGCTTTCCCTTTGAACCGTTTCTTGGCTGAGGGCTCTGGGGTGTCACATTTTTCGACTTTTATTTTCGGCGCGACAGAGGGGGAGGACCAACTTTTATCAGGTGACTGAGAAGCGGGAGGGCTTGGACTTGAAGTGATCTTGACGACTTCTTTGCTCACAACAGTTCTCTTCCGTTCGCTGTTTTTAGCAGAAACTTTAGATTTTTCTACACAACTTTTGGAACTTACAGAACTTCTTGAGCTCAAAATAATGTTGCTTGCTGTTTTCTTGGGACACAAGGATTTCATCTCACTTCTAGATTCTATACTGGACACAGTAGTCGGTTTCAATAGCTCTCTTCCTTTAGCAGAGATAGCCACAGTAACTTTCAATGCTTTATCTTGGTTTAATTTTGAAGGGTTATTAGAATTATAATAAGTTGTTGAGCTACGGACAACAGTTCCAGGAGGATATTTGCTGGAATTTCTGAGCGCTCTTTCCCTTTGATCTGTAATATAATTGCGATTGAGAACCTTGCTGACTTCTGCTGGTGATTTTAAGTCTAGTGATGCATACAGCTTTTTTGAGCTGGCTTCTTGTTGATCTTTCCGAGATCTTAATGAACTGTGCGTTACCTTACTCAGAGGACCGTCTGAGAGACTTGCCGTTTTTGAGAGAGGTTTGGTCACAGTTCTTTTGGCACCAGGGCTAATTGACTTCTGTCGCGACGGTAGACTTCTGGAGAAATTAAGACATGAGGTGATAATTTTCTGACTTTTTTTAAAATCGGATGAAGGTGACTTCTTCTGGCTTTCCTTTGGGACGCCCAATTTATGTTGCAACCTCTCTTTCAAATACTCAACATTCGAATCAACTTCAATGCCTGATGAAGACCTTGCAAGTTTGGTTTTTGATTTTGGTGGGCTCACGGAAATCTTCGATACTAATTGTAACATAGAATTCCTCCTGGATGATTGTCGTTTTGGTGGAGACGGAGGCTCCGATGATTTTTTAACAGCAATAGATGCAGGAGGTGCCGAACGTTTGAACTGAGAAAAAACAGGCTGTATGTTGGAATGCTCGATAGATGTTACTGGATAGCAGATGATTTCCCTCAGAGGCTCAATTGGTTGACTGCGTCTGGATCTGTGGACTCGGATTTTAGTCAGGTGATCCGAAATTGGAAAATATTCAATAACTGAATCATCTAGGATAAAAAGAAAAAACGCTTTTAGCACATGATTCTTCTTTGTTCAAAAATGGTTTTGCCACACTTGCAGAGTCCCGTCCACCAATGCTGCTGTTAGGTGCTGTCTACAATCAATAAATTTCAAACCGTGAAGAGGTGAGTTAAGCAGAAAATTAATGATGTTTCCCAGCCGATCATTGAACAGTCTGTGTAACTGTTTCTTTTAAAGAAGAGTGATTTTGGTGCCAAATAGAAAAAAAATTCACTCCATGCAGGTAAGCTTTGGAGCAGTGCACTTGCGCTGGACAAAAAATACTGCCCTTCCGTAAGGAGAAAAAGGCATGAGTTTGCACTTAGATATTAATTTTCTGGATGAAGTGCTTCAATTTGATAAACCAACTGTCATCTTTCTTCAGTGCTCATTCCAACCAGAAAATGGAGTTGGGCTGAAATAATTTAGAAACATAGAGAGAAGGAACAATACTTCATTTTGAAGATCAATCAATCAATAAGAAATTTTTAAGATGATAACATGAATAGAATATTTGATTGATAGGACTACATTAGTTACTAAAAAAGTTAAGTAGTTATGTGAGGGTTCTTTGCCGATTTTCAAGTTTATTGAAGCTATTTGATAACTGATTTAATTCAAGGGAATTGAAATTGAGGTTTTGAATCAGCAAGAACTTTATTCATAAAATTTCTCATTGTACGGCATTGTGGATATTTCCCAATATCAAATTTTTTTTCCAAGATCCCTTGAATAATGAGGTAAGGGAAATGGATCCGAGTGAACATAAAATCTTCATCCTTGAATTTTCAAACTTCAAAGAATTTCACACTGAAAGGTTCCTAACTCTTACAGTATAGTTGTAATATAGACCAAAAAAAAGGGAGGGGGGAAGTACCATGAGAAAATCCATCCTTGGCAAATAGGGCAAAAGCTAAATGCTATTTAAAGCAATTACTGCCTGTCCTAATATACAATTTATTCCTGATTCATTCCAGTCTACAATCAGTATCAATTTCGTATTGATAAAGTAGGAGAAAAAAGGAGTATACTCATGAAGCAGCTCTGATTCATGTGGCTTTCTTTTCTTATAGATTTAAGAAAAAAGGAAAAATATGGTCATGCAAAACCTACTTCACCCTACTTTTATTGAACTTACATGCAGTTCTAGCTTATCAAAAATGTACCCCCCCCCCCCTTTTAAAAACCTATCTTTGACTACAGCTAGTGTGCATTTTGCTTGTAAGATTACTTTTTATAGGGAATGGGACCTAAATGTCATACTCCTGCGTGGAGGGAGTGGCAAGTGCTAAATGGGAATGTTGGACAAGATTATGGTAAACTTTCAGCAATGGTTGGATGAGAGTAGAGTTACCCAAAATCGCTTAAAAATTACAAATAGTGCAAAATCTGATATTCACTATTCACCTCATAGGACATATCGATGGTGAAACTTCAAAAATGTTCATCTCATTTGCAGTGTTTCAATATCTCAGCTCCTATTTTATTGTTTAAAAGGAGACAAAACCAGCATCATGGCTTGAAACTTTCACGGAATATTCTTTACGTAGAGAATTAGAGTCACCGGAAATTTCAAAAAATGACATTTAGTAGTTTCCCATTTAGAAAATCAAGTATAACAGAAAGTCTGCAACACTGAAAACAGAGATACGCATTTTTGCAGTTTCTCCGTCAATATGAAAATGTCTCTTTGGTTTCATTGAATTACAGCAATAACTGAGGGATAAGAGTGTGCAATAAAATTAGTTTAAGCTGCTGAACATGTTTTGCTGAGATCGTGTTAACTTTTGGTTCTCTTTATTAATGGTGGGGGCTCTCGCAAAGGTGAAAAGAAAAGTGCTTCTTTCTTAAAATAACACATTACTTGGAGAAGAGAGAGGGAGAGAAAGATAAAAAAGTAAAAAAAAACTCAAGGGTGCACTTCAAAAAATCATGGTGAGTTTATCAATGACTGTCATTGGGAATGAAATGCCAAAACTACCTAAAATGCTATCTGCCAATCTAAACAGAGAATAATATCAAAAAGTTAGTGTAAGAAATCAGAGATGATTTCAATAGAATTTGTGACTCAAGTCCAAAAACAGTTTTCTAGAATCGGAATCTTTCTAAACTAGTCAAAAATTTCATGATAAGATGTAGGCTTCTTTGAGCATGATCAGACAAGACAGTGTGTAAAACAAATGGCTCTCAGAGTAACAACTGTGAAGAGCTATTACAAGCTGCGACAGCTTTGAAAAAAACTTGCATATTAGTGCAAAGCTACTTAGTGGCTAGACAAATGGACCTCTAGACAATGTGCTAATTTAAGAATTCTATTTTAGGTTTCCTCTTCAAAATGTCATATAGAGCACATCTCGCACCATTGAAAGTACTGAAATTAACTCTCCATTTAAATTTGGTATAGTTGTAGTTATCTATAATATTCTCATGGTGACAGATAGAATTTTCAGTAGTTGGATTTGACCTTAGAAGAAAAAAATTGACATTAATTACCTTTTGGTCGTTGAGGAGCTGGCTTTCTCAGTCCGTGAAGTGGCACTTCTCCACCTTTTTGAATTTCTTTGTAGGCCATTTTTTTCTCCGTAGGACTCATGTCACAATTTTCATCTCGCCGTTTAAAAACTAGACTAGAGTCACTTTCATACCCACCATCTTTAAGCGTACTAAAAAAGAAAGAAAAAAAGCACTCACTTTACAGAGTCAATGCTGAAAGATTGAGATTCAAAGAGAACTCAAGTTGGACAACCAAGAAACTGAAAACCATGTAATTAAATTGAAATTCTGAGAATAATTAGGTATTAGAAATAGGGGCAAAAAGGTATTGATTTGAGGCTTTAGAATGGGTCAGTTGCACTGGTCACAGAATCGTATTTTGATGCTTGATTCTTGTAGATTAGCTGAGAATAATAAGTTTCGTCTAAACAGCAAATTTCTATGTTCAATATTAACCGAGATATCGCCCTTTGAGAAGTCGAGTTTTTGATGTCATCCACCACGGTAGTGACACTCTTGATTTTTTCCACTTTGCTTTCTTCCAAGTTTTACGTTGTGTAACCAGTGCGTCACTCACTGATGACAGCAAGGTAGAGGAAACCACAGGTGTCACTACTGCAGTGGGCGACGTCAAAAACCTAACTTTTCAGAGGGCAATGTCTTGGTTAATATTGAACTTAAAAAGTTGCGGTGAGGACTGATCTGATTATTTTTGGCTAATCTACAAGAATCAAGCATCAAAACGCCGATTCTCTGTCCAACGCAACTGGCCCATTGCGGAAAAACGGTGTAGAGTTGACTTCTTTGCAGGACCTCATTTTCAGATTTTTAGACGACCATAGAGAAAAAAGCAGAGGGTTATCATTTGTACATTTACAGGTAACAAACCCTGAACAATCTTTCCTTCCCTTACACTCCTTACTTTCCCATTGGCTCTTTGCTCTCTTTCTCTCCCCTATTACTTAGATCTTTCTACATCCCTGAGGTGGCCGCAGAAAAATACGAGAACATCCTTCTTTTTCCTCAATGATACATAGCAAGAGATGATCTTCTAATTGTTTTGAATTTAAGAGTCATGAGCCATACAGCACTGTTTACTTACTATGTCATGAAATGCTTTTTCTGTTGTGATGGAGGGTTGCTTTGATTCCGATGACCACCAGTTTCACCATATTGCTAAAAAAAATATTAACCATCAGATAGAAGTATCGATAAAAATATTAACAGATGGATTGATAGTAGAGTATGGAATTTATTGGTTTCAAAGTATCTGAAGCTGCAGTTGAACATTAACTGAAATGTAGCACATGTTCATTACAATGATCAGGGATAGTGGTATTTCTACGTCTGGTCATGAACTATGAATAACAATGAATAAAGAGTTCTTCAGATGAAACTAGAAATTGTATGGATGACGATGCTCAAAATATTGTGGTGTCTCAAATGCACTGCATTTTTTTAAGTTTACACATCAATCAGGGAAAAATGTGCACAAAACAAGATATTTAGACGTTTACAATTAAACTCTACCAGGATTCGGTTATGAGTCATTATATTAACTTTCTCTTTTTCTTATCAGCCTTGAAAGATAATTTTAAAAAACTTCTGTTGTGAATAGAATAAAATTTTAATAAAAAAAAAACTTTTAGTACTTTATTTAAAAATGTTTGAACGCTAGTAACGCTATAAAATAATTGGAATTAGAAAAATCAATAATATTGTAATAGTACCTTATCAAAGATCTCCATCATTTCATCCCACCACTGTAAACAAATTATATTTGAGGATTAAAGACAAATAGATCACATACATTAGTTGTCAAAAATGTCAAATATTAATCACGCGCATTGAAGTACCATTTTTAAATTGCACTTGAAACTAAATGACTGATCCAACAAGATAAATTGTTCAAAGCAAAAGATTTTTCACTTTTGAAAACAAACTGTAGACTCTAAAAACTCTTTCCTATCGAAAGCAAAAATTCAACGATATGAGAAAATCCCCATGTTCAGTTTTGTGCAATCTGATGAATCAGAAATTGGCACGGTATTAAATTTAATCTGACAATGAAACACCCACATGAGTCCATAGACTGATACGTACATGTTTTGGTGACAGAGATACCTCCAGGCTCAAATGATAATAGGGCCATAATGTCGATCACCAGTGCCTAACATGTTCCAAAATCAAGTTCCTGCCCATTTTATTAACTACCGTCAAAAATCACAGGACTGAATAAACTAGGTATAAAAAACATGTTTCAGAGATAGTTTATGGAGTTATGAGATCATAATTTGTGGACTGAAAGATTTTCATTATATAGTTTGACATTCACCTGTCAGTTATTGAAGCCTTGCACGTACACAAATTGAGAGCGCTGTCAGATATTGGCAATCAAACATTAGCAAAAGATATTTTCACCACAGAGATGAGTAATTGCATTTTGAGGGTTGCTAGTAATAATCTATTGAGGTTTTAAATCTAGGATTAGTGCAAGATATATTTATAGTCGATATATCTATGATAGATATATCTATGATCGAATGTCATTATTCCTTTACTTGGAATAAAATAACTGGAGCCCAAACTTTTTCTCACTGATTTCCTTCAGAACAAGACTGTTTACTTATTATCCATTTTAAATCAGGTTGGTTTTGTGAATAAATTAACAAATATGTAGGTAAAATACAAACTTCTTTGGTTTCTTTATCTGCTATCGAACAACGACCAGGTTCATAGTTTTCTATGCGCCCAGGTTGGCTATTGTAAATTTCTACTGCATGCTTCAAAGCTTCATTACTGGGCCTGTAATGAAATAGATATAAACATTGTGAGTTTTTTCCATGAAATACAAAAGATTAAGTAAAATAGGCTTCTTGTAATTTTTAAACAAAAAAAAAATTCTGAAAAACACAAAGAGAGAAAGAAACATGCAGAGTCAAAATTTTACGGATCCACTCCAAGGGATATTTCCCTCAATTCATTAACCGATGACTGCCACGCCGGCTTGTGGGGACTGGCATATAAAATGATCTTGATTTCCTCAAATTTCTATCTACAGGCTCTTGGCCGAACTAGAAGTTACTTGAATTCTTGAAGTCTTGTAATTGTCATAAACGCGTGTAATTCGATATACTAGCCACTCCGTCTAACTTCACTCTTCTAAAATTGGATTTTTTAGCCAAGGAAACAAGATATTGACTTGCTATTACTCCCAGCAATAATCAAAAGGTGCAATAATTCCAAAAACAATGGTAGGCCTCAATTGTGACTCTTTTGAAGATGTCCTCGAAAAAGATTACTTACTTTGTGCGAGGAACATAGGATAGGCTAGCATCATTTTCTTTCGACTGGTTTCTTCTCCTGTCTAAAGTTGCATATTTGGCAGCTATTTTGTCAGAATTGTGATTGGTTGCTTCTGGTTCCGAGCTATATCCACTATTCCCATTACGAATTTGTTGTGATGCACGGTCAACTAAAAATTTTAAATGACAAAAGTCAATGAATGAATTCACTCTTCCTGCTGAAGGAGATGAGAGAAAGGAAACTAAGATAGGTGGAGGCATGTACCACAAGGATCGCAAAACAATGTTCATTTTACAAAATTGACGCCTCATTTTATTCATGAAGTCTCTTGACAGTGAAAGGAAGTATAGGTAAGCTTATGATATATTTTGAAAACTCAGAGGCAACATGAAAAACCGCCTAATGAAAGAAGAAGTAGCGTTAGCTGACTGGCAAACCAAATTTCCCGTTTCAAGCAGAGACACTCTGATAGGAGGTTACGACATCCTCTACGAAGCAGGAAATTTGGTTTGGCAGTCAGCTGATGCTACAAATATGGTGGAGGAGAGTAAAAATATCAATGTTCTTAAGCTGTCAGAAGAAATTAGTGATTTTCTAGCTTGTAATAAAACTACAGGTAAGATATTCGATAGTTGGAAGATATATATTAGTGCTTTGTTTTTTAAAAGATTTGGCATGGAAAAGAATTGAAAGAAGTCAAAAGCAATCCTGAATAAATGACTGTTCTGATGGACTGTGAGGGATGGATCCACTCAGATAAAATTTAAGTGTTCTACTCTGGTAAGCTGATGTGAATCATGCCAATACTCCCCTTGAATAGGTGGACAATTGAGACGATATTTATTCATAATAAGATTCAGTATCGTATTCTAGGATCAGAAACAGTGCCTGGCATATTGATCTAAGATAAATTTAGGTAACTCTAAAATCAGGCTCTCACAAATGTAACAATGCATATTAAGTTGGTCTGTTACACCTATCATTAAAATAAATCCTACTTGCCACAGCGGGTAAGTAAAGGCCAAATTAAATGAAGTTATAAAGCTAGTTTGATGATGCATTAACAGATGATGAAATTGTTAGTTGTCCAGTTATTCTCAGAGTATGCTACGACTAATTAAAAGAGCAGTGAAGGATGTTTTTGAAGATAAAAGATTCTTAGTTGACAGTTTAAAGGCACAAATTTAAGATGTTTTTTGAAATTTGACTCAATATGAAACGTGAGAAATTCAAACAAATGAGAAAGAGGATATTAATTGCATGATAGAAAGACACATTACAAAAGTAACTTGAAGATTTTAGAGACATTAGTTACGTACAAAATGACACGTTAGCATTTCATGAGATGAGAGTGGTTCGACCTGATTATGCCGTTAAGACATCAAGCACATTAGTTCATTAATTACTAGGATTAACTTGTGAGTGTTTTTTTATTTTTGTAAAAATACGAATGCTAAATTAGTCTTTCCAAAATTGTTCATAGTTAGTCACCTGGTTGGTTTGGCCAGTATCGAACAGTAACATTTGATTCTGTAAAATTAAATATTTTCTGTACTGCTTTTAACTGACAACACTCTTTGATCTTGCTCTTTACATCGACTTTTTATGTAATACGTACACACAAATAAAAGTCCTCAGATTTAAGAGAAGAAATAATAAATGCAATGAGAAACTATTCTTTTTAACACGGTTTTTCTTTTTTACACAGTGGATAAAAATAAAAACAAAAGGTCTTTTGGATTTGATCATAGATTTAGATTTATAAGTTGAGATAAACAGTCAGGATGTCTCAGCTTTATTAAGCGATTTAAGAGGGAGCCTGACAATGCAACAACACCCCCTTCATTGTAATGTAATTCTAGCTCTTGCAAAAGATTGATATGTACCCAAGAGTAATTTTTTTTGGTAGACCAAAAAACTAAACTCTATATCTCCACTAGTCTCCACTATCACTGCAGAAGTGCAACAAATGTTGTAGAACATAGTTGCATTGAAAAGATTGAGTGTTCATGTAAGATAAAGACCAAATGTCACAAGTGGTCAATAGCTACTATGTGTACCTAAAAAATCTCAGCTGTTTTGACGTTGAAATGATATTTTGTCTCTATCTTACATTCCAACAGATGCCCAATCTCTAAACAAGTGAATTGCCACAAATGTGAAGTAAATCTTGCGTTGAAAGGCAATGTGCAACAAGGACTAATTTTTTTCTATTCAATTGATTCTAGACTTTGAAAAAATGCTGTGATGCAAAACACTAAATTACAAGACATTATCAGTGGTGTGCAACTTTTCAAACCGGTCCCACCACAGAACAGGTGCACAGTTCGTGCTACCGACTAAAATTATATCATATAGTAACAAGTGGGTTTCAATGAAATTAAACCACTGAATTTTTGGCTTCTTAAGTGCTCATTTTGACACATGGTATTCAAAAACTGTGGGCTGTAAGCTAATAAAGCCTGCCAATGAGACAATAAATACATGCCTCATTAAACTTTGTGATTTAACAAGTTATTTATCTCTTTTTGTGAAATTAAATTTTTCATTACATATTAATTGACTTATGAACAGAGTACCAACTAAAAGGACGAGTATTCTCGTTTTATTGAACATAGTATTGTGACTTTCGAAGTTATTCAATCACGTTTAATCCCTTAAATTTACTGGGTGCTTGGCGATGTGGACAAGCAGATTCTCTTGATGAGTTTAATTTCTGGTATTCCTCTTAGAAGATGAACTTTAACTTTTAAATATTCATCAAGAGTACTTACTATCTAAATTAGCTTGATGAAGCGACTCGTACATTCGTTTGTACCATTTTTGTTGATTTTCTTCTCTACCACCCTAACAAAAAAGAGAAGGGGAAAAAAGTGAAAATTAGTACAGCATTGCAAGAACATCTTTGCAGTAGGAGGAGAAAATAATATTATGCATACACATCAATGGTGAAACAAAACATCTGTTTCATAACCCTAGTGCTTCAAAACTTTTTTTTGAAGGCATTTCATTATTTTAAAAAAATTTGCTAAAAAGTACTCAAAATTTCTATATAACTCAGAAAAAACCTTGCGGAATTTTACAAATCAATGATAGTTGTATTTCATTTTCTTGTTTCACTTTCATTATGAAGGTGAGGTTACCAGTTCTTGGATTTCAACCAAGTGCGGTCGACAAAGTATGGTGTTCGAAGTGTTACACCCCAATAAATAATTAAAATATTTTATGCAACGATGGAGTTTGTGTTGTGGGGGTACATTATGCAAGAAGTCTAAGGCCTTTGACTGAATACGCAAAAGAATAAATAGAATTATGCGGCTGTTAATCTCTCTGTTTGGTATCAGTAAATCAAGATCAAGTTGTAAATAAGAGCACTAGCAAAACAAAAATAGACAAACGTCTATTACTGATGTAAGATTACATTCTTCCAGGTGTGGCAAGCAAACTATGAAATGCAAAGTGAAAAATGCAAAATCAACATTATAAAACATATATATATGTTTTACTCTCGTGGTCTATACTCAGATTTCCAAATTGAGAACCCCCGGTAGGAATTGTAAAGAGAAACAATGCCCTACTACATTTTCAGCATTCATAGTCGTTACTTTTGAATCATTACACTATATTATGGCAGAGACTGAATTTCATTTTCAGTTGTCAACTTACAGGAACATTATTTGATGAGATTCTGTCTGCATTTGGGGATTTGGTCTTTTCCGTTGGTTTTTGCTCAGTATTCATAACTTTTTTGGATTGAGCTTTGGATTCTTGATCTGAAAAAGAAGGAAATAATAAAAAGTTGTTAGAAAGTACCAGCAAACAGAAAATTAGCTACTTTATGAATAAGAATTCCCAAATCAAAAAAATAGATGAATTGCGGAAAACAAAATGATGATAAAAATCAAGTAATGCACTAAGGGAGAAAGAAAGCTATTTTTGAAGATCATAATTCACAAGGCTTAATAGTAATAGGTACCCTCATTTTATTTCCTCCAATTGACTAAATGAAATCAAGCCTCCTCTTTTGCATACTACTAATGATAGAATAATGCTATTCTAATTTTACAATAAATAAATCAGTAAAGTCTATGCTTTTATCAAACTTTAAAGTGCTCTTCAATCTTATGGAAACCCCACAAATCCAAAATAAGTCAAAGAGGCTTGATATAGGTTTTTGTACAAGTTTTAATGGTTGTAAAATTAAATGAAAACAAACCAAAACAAGCTGTAGCTTGAATCATTGTTTTTGATTTGCAAAATTAATTGAAACAGGGTTGCAAAATTTGTTTTTTCCCCGTTAGGTAAGAACAGGGAAAAGACATAAGAGCCTGATGAAGTTAAAAGAAGCTAAAGGAGAAAGGTTAAAATAGATAAAAGGACTTACTATGGCGCAGTGAAAGGAAAAAGGAAGAAAAATATGAGCTGAATAGGCCACTTTTAAGTTCTGCTATTTCATAACCGTTTCTCTTCAGCCTCTTATCATTGAGAAGAATTCGAATGCTGGATTCAATATTTACAATGCCTTATCAATGATAGTACAACAGCTGTGATAAAATGACACCTATTCAATGAGGATCAGAGCTCGTTATGTATGAACTGTCATCAGATCAAGTACTTGTCTCTTAATCTTCAATAGCTTATTATTAGATGAATGAGAATCATTGATTCACAAGTTGAAATCATGGAGGGGGGAATTAGGGAGTATACTGTAATATAGTGTGTTAATGTGATGAACCCCTAAATCATAGATTGATCATATCAGTGGAGTTTTCCATTTCTATTGACTGCAGATATTTCTATCTTTCTGTTTTTACTACAAATAAAAATAAAAATAAAAATAAAAAATAAAAAAAATAAAGGATTACGGATGAGTAATATTCTAGATGAAAAACATTGGTGACTTACTATTTTCAGGCTCAGAGGTTTTGGTCTTTTCAGGAGTCTCTTTGGTATACATTTTTTGGTCATCTAAATATGCAGCACCTTTGGACAACTGCCCCTCTGAAAAGAAATAAAAAATGAGAGATTCAGATAATAGAATTTTATGAAAATGGCTGCATGCCGAGGAATATGTACAAGAATGGGCTTGAAAGTATCGAACTTCATGCTACAGGTACAACAATTTAACATTTTCATCACACTTTTCAGTACATTTCTTTACATATTTCACAGTTGAAGTTTTTTACTCTTTTGAAAGTTACGGAAAATATCTTTCATTTTGTTAGTAATTAAAGGAAAAAAGGGGAAAAATATCTTTCATCATCTCTCCAACAATAAAAATTACAACCCAAGTGTGAGGTTCATTGGGACAAGGTCATGATTAAACTAATGCACACTCATCACAATAAAAACTGATGGAGATCAAAAACAAAAATCTGAGCCAATGCACAGCAATGAAACAAACATTCGAACTGATAGCCATTGAATTAAAGTAAACAGAAACAAAAGTAAAAATTGAACAATTCTAACTCACAAAATTATATTAAAAAGGAAGTGAGGTTGAAGTTCCTTCTTCAAGGTCTCTTGCCGCCGTTTTACTAATGCTTTTGTAAAACTGAAGCGTGAAATTTTTCTGCGTGGTTTCTATTTGTTTAGCTATGTGCATCTTCATATTTAATCAGCGATGAATATTAGTGGCTAAAAGAGGCTCAGAGGAAATTCAAAACTTTCCAGAGGAAAATAGAACGTCCAGTCAATAAAGCTGCAGTTAAAATGGATAGCTAATTAACTTGAAAATTCTTACAGTAAGTAATGAATTTAGGATTGCTCTTTGAGGAGAACAAGTTTGAGAACTAAGGCACCTCATAAAGAGAGATTAAAATATCAACTCTTACCTCAATTGAGCATTTTAAGGTAAAATAGCTAATCTAAAAAGCAAAAGAAAAAAACAACTGTCTGACTGCAAAATTCAAAGCACATCCAGTCTATCTTGATGTGCTAGAATAGGAACTTTAAATTTTTTTATCATGCCTTTTGTAATCACATCAATTATGAAATTAAATGGATAAAAATATTTCCTTGAAAATCTTTCAAACCTTTTTATCTGGGGAAGGAAGACAAAGATAAAACAAACACAACTCAAATACTAGCCAGCTAAAGAAAAGCAAAATGAATTCTGAACAGAAAAAAAAAAGAATAAGAAAGTCAGGAAAGCAATGAATTGAGTTGTATGGGAGAGCGGAAACTAACCCTTATGCGTCTGTGAATTTGATCCAAACATAATTTTAATACACACTTTCGAACATGTGGAATGATAATTTATCAGCAATAGAGAGAGATTGATTTTCTCGTTAATAGCTTTTACACAAAGAGTTCATCAACCAGACTCATTCTCAAACATTCTACAGCAACACCAAAAATGACAAAAAAACAACAAAAACCCACCGATAAAATTAATTGTGATGACTAGAAAATCACTGGCAGTTATAAAACTTGAAGTCTAAAAAATACTGACCGAATGAAACCTCTTTATTCTACTCCTGATATAAAAATCAAAATGAGGGGATAAAAAAAGAGCAAAAAAATGGCACTACCAGATAGTTTTAGTGTTGGGAAGTTAAAATCAAAACCTTCGTAAGAGAAACTTAAACTATGATAGGATTAAGGGTAGACATGCACCTCGGGCTTTTTGAAGCAGAGTTATCGTAGGATTTTGAGATTTGGGCAAAGCCAGACCACACTGACCCAACACAGAATGATCTAACGATCGAAGTTTTGAATTTTCATTGTTATTTTGGTTCTTTATTTCGAGTCTCTTCCCTGAAACTGAGAAAAATAACACGCGATGGTTTGTCAAAATTCAGAAAAATGCGATCCAATATACCTCTAAAAATAAATTCAGACAAGAACTGAATCAATCCGATTGTTAACATTTTTGCCTTGAGAGGCATATTGGAACAAAGACAGGCCAACATAAACCATCACATTCAAGACATAGGAAAGATGCACAAGGGAAGGAATGGGAGTTAAATAATTTACATTCATCTTTCAGTGTAACAATGAAAGAGAGTAAGACGAAGAAAATTGAAAGTAAGACTCAGAGCTGTATAGATGTAAGTTTCAACCATCCGCCGCTTACTGGTTGGAAAATTACTCTGATCAACATAGGATGGATGAAAGGAGTTAGTATACTAGCTCTTTCAGAAGAAATTTTGATAAAGGAATGAAATGGTAGACATAGCCTTCTACCAGAGAGCACATTTAAGAAAAGTTACGATTCTATTCCAAAGATTAATTCCTCTTGTTACACTGTTTCACATAGCAAACAAACAGGAATACTGTGATACCAAAGTATCAAGATGTGCCATTGACGCCATTCCATTAGAAGTTTCAAATCATAGGTGACAGAAAATGATATTGAGATAAAATGACGGTGCGTAAATGTTCACCTCTCAAGGAAAAAAGGAAGGATGAATAAGAATAGGTCCTCACCTGAAGAAAATGCCGAGATTCTTTCTTTGACAGAGGGTCCGACTACCTCCTCTGATTTTTTCTCTGTTCCATTTGTAGGGATTGGTAACTTTGATTGAAACCCTCCTGATTCCTGCAACAATTTTGGAACAAATATTAAATACTTCAAAAGATAAATAATACTAAAAAATCCTTAAAACCGAAAACCCTAACTTCAGTGCCTCAAGATGAAGGATATTCTATGGAATAAAATAAATATTTTTCTTTCTACGCGATTGCTACAAAAAGTAGCCCCCCTACCATCCTTGGAAACATTTTCAAGAAAATTCTGAAAAAATGGGTTCCAGCATAGCAGCATTAAAGACAGGGTAACCTGTTTAGATGGATTGGGGCATGGGCGAACTGATTTTTGATACCACCATGGGTAAGACAGCCCCTCTCCCCAAAAGGGGTATCCTGAAAATGTAACAGTCATCAGAAACTAATAATAAGTGATAGCCAACCCTTTCAGTTGTGGTATACCTATCTACTTTTTATGACTATCTTATCTTTTTAACTGACGATTTGAAGGTGACCTTAAAGTGATAAAAATTATACTACTTGAATTCCGAAGTAAATGAATATCAGAGGAGATAAAATCAGAGACGAAATTGAGATTAAAGTCGAAAACCCGCATTACCTTATTCACTTTGGAGGCCTTCCTCGCAGGAACAGGAGATTGAAATTTGACAGGTTTGAAAGTTATTTGATCAGATGGGGTGGCTCGCCCACTGCTCTTCGGAGTCCATACCGGGGGGATGGGCTCCGTGTTCCCATTTTTCTCATCTTTTTCCGAGTTTTTCGGCTCTAGCCTCTGATTATCGTACACCTTCCTTGGAGCCTCAGGGGTGACCGCTGGCGACCAGACACCTGCAAAAAGTCAAACGGAATGTAAAAACAAATTTTCATAGGTGAAAAAACATCAGATAGGTAAATACCTAACATTTAGGAGCAGGGAACAAGTTGTTCAATTCTTGTAAAACAAGCTGTAAAAAAGTTCATCTTTATATTAAAGGAAATATTTTGTTTTAAAATATGTGCTGTTGGGATGTATCGTCACCGTCTTCCCTCCAAAAAATTGAGTACCACTTCTTATAGAACCAAGTAAGACTGATGCGGTTGTTTTGCATTGAGAATTCCAAAAGGACAATGAATTTTTTTCCAGGTCTAAGACGATGCAGCTACTGCCATTAATTTTTCTTTTCTAAAGCAGAATATGACCTTGGATTTTTTCCAGCATTTACCGAAAATTGAATTTTTAAAAAGACATTTTTGGAGCTTCCTAAAACCCCCTGCCACCTTCTTTGAAAAATTCGATTTTTCGAAAAATAAGTAGGTGCCGGAAAGAAACCGAGGTAAATTCCAACTGCAGCAGCAAAAATTTAAATGAAGTAGCTCATTAGACACAAGGTGAAAAAAGTGGCCCGTTTTTTTAGACGCAAAACAATCGGATCAGTTTTAAGTGGAAGTATATCAACGGATTAAGCCATTTAACCGGAAAAACTTCGGTATCAGACAGCACATGAGCACAGGCATACTGCAGGCAGTCCGTGGCATACCGAGGACATATTCTGAGATATTTTTGACTGCTGAATTCAAAAATGGGTTTACTTTCCCTCTATCATACTAAAATTCCGGAAGATTCAATTTTCTCCGAAATAGCCCGATTTATTAGGAAAATTCCAAAGATTTTAAGCCCTCCATAATTTTGTGGTATGATGATATTATCGTCATTAATCATTTGATTATGAACTGATTGAAATGCAGGAAAGACTGAGGGTATCTGAACCACCTCATACATTACTGTCTGAATATTCTGGAAGTAATGCAAGCTAAGAGCAAAAATAAAGACATCCGCTTGGATTTACCTGCCGATGCCGTCTCGAGTGAATCTTCGCTCTACAGATAATTGAAAAGAGTTATTTTTGGCTTAGCAACACGCTGTACGGCAAATGTAGAATGAGCTACGCATGAAAAAAGTACGGGCACTAATAGGTTCTTTATCGTGCGAAAAGAAGACATAAAAAAAGGTGTGTATTTTTAGCTCGCTCCTTGCAGTTCATCACCAAAGGGACGTCTTTAAAAGTAAGAGCGGATTTTGGACACTCGAAAGGGCAAAACCGGTTTTATATAGCTATTGACCTTTTACATTACTCCGTGAGTAGTCTAAATTTGAAAAAATACAGCTCGTAAAATTCCTAAAAATTATCCGATGTTCTTGAATTTTCTCCGCATTTGTGTTGAAAAAATTGTACGTGAAACCTTCGCATAGAAAATTACGGAGCGACACATCGATCGGGTTAAAAAATTCCTATTTTTCGGGATGATATTCGGCATTTACGGTGAAGCTGCCAAACTACGGATCTCAATTGTAGTGTTTAACGAATAATCACTCATATTTGATTTCTCCAGGAGAATGCTGCTCAAATTGTTTTGCACGAAATATTCAGAGAATATTGTTGAAAATGCGAGGGAAAATCAACGAAAATTCCGAACAAGAGCAATTAAACCTTTTTCAGAAGAATATTGAAATATTATCACTTTTAAATAATAATAAAATAATGTCATTTAAATGATAAGTGACAGAATACGTCCGATGTCGCAAACCGAGATACGTGGTTTGACGGTTTTCACCATCGAGATAACTTATGAAACGGCTTAACTGAAGTAAGTGGTTTCTGTATGTTATGTGATGAAAATCAAGAGCAGAGAATAGCTGAATGTCCGAGTAGTTCTACATAGTGACTGCCACTTAGGCATTGAATTTCTCCAAAATCAGACGTTTATTGCATGCACGTTTTCTGTAATGAATTATACACTGGAAAAAAAACCACATTGGATCTAGAGTCCAGACTCTTAAAAACATCGACAAGAGAGAGTACTCTTGATTCAATCAGAATCTAGCTTAAATCAAGAACCAAGCCTCTTAATTTAAGCGGATTTCGTTTTGATTCAAGCAAAAATCCGATTGAATCAAGAGTATTTTTTCTTGTCAATGTTTTCAAGAATCTGGACTTTAGATCCAATGTGTTTTTTTTCCAGTGTATAAGAAAAACCTCGGAAGCTTGTGAGGCTGATGAGAGGCGAAATACGAAACACCTTCGGTCGGGGAACTTACAGAAAACCGAAGAGAAAAAGAAAGAACAGCGTTTTCATTTATCAATGACATGGGGTCAAAGAGGGGAAAACTAAAGAAAAGCAATTAAATATTGACACAGAAAGAGGGAAAAGAAGAAAAATTACGTGAATAGCATGCGGTCAGTCACACTCCACATCAAATCTACGAAAACAACGATAGCATTATGTCAAGAGTTAACTTTAAAGTTAATGACGAAAGTTGTTGAAAGTTACTAAAATAAATTGAAAGATGCAATCGGAGACTTTGACGGACACCTCGCAAATGAGGCAACTCAGGAAAAATGTATTTCTCATATTATTGCCTTAAATTACTCGTTGGGTCATGAAAGGCTCTAAAATCGTCGTTTAAAAAAGGGAGAAATTGCGTTTTACTTAATGAAGTGATGCAAATTCAACTTTCGCACACGTGTAGAAGTGTACTTACTGTATTACTGCGGCCTTTTAATTGATTTCATTCTTCCTTTTCCATTTCTTTCTTTTTTTATTTTTTTCCATCCGTTTCCCACCATTTCTCTTGACATAATTTGGCCCCGACTGACGAAATTCGGTGAACTATAAGATCGGGTGCTCAGATAGCGATGAATCATTAGGAGTCTTTGATGGGTAGCGCTTGATGGACAAGGTGGCGAGTCTGAGTTCGAAAGGGGGAGGGAGAGAAAATAGACCGAGCTTAAATAGTGCGAATCGTTTGAGGATGCATCACGAGATGAACAACCGCCAAGGAAAGAGATTACAAATCGCCTCGATTGAAAATAGAGCGCTAGTTTTGATAACGTTCGATGGATCGAAAATATTCGAGATATTGACATTCCTGGGCCGAGGTAAAATGTATCGAAGTCAATGTCGATGCAGACAATATAAAAACGATGTCATCGAGACGGAGATTGTCTCTGAGTCGCGTCTGAGCTTTGAACTTTCGACCGCGTGTAGACGATTCGAGTGACTCACGGGTCCGCGAGGTTGGACCTTTGTTCCAAGCAACGTTCGCTTGGATCGTGGAAATCAATCTGGGACGAAAATAAAAGAAAAAGGACGCCAGAGTCTAGTTTTTTTTCATGAATGGAAATGAAAGTTCGTTTACTCCGTCGTGACCTCCAGCACGTATAGAAAGGCGAGATTCTATCCAACGACACAGTCATAAAAAACGCCTATCTTGCGCTGTAAAAAATTAGGTTTCATGAAGGAAAGTTCACAAAGAACAAGCTATGGAAAATGTACAGTTACACAGCCAGCATTACTGATTAGTCGGAGACAGTGGTGTGGCGTGCTTTGCGATACATCGATTGTTATGTTCTTTAAAACTATAGAAAAGGATCGATAGACAGGGTGTTCGCAGCGAACATCTTAATAATCGATTCTTTACCATAGTTTTAAATGACATAACAATCGATACATCGCAATTCACGCCACGCCACTGGTCGGAGACGGTTTTCACACGTGATTGGATTTGTCCAAAGAGATCATAACTTCGAAGAGAATTTTCAAAATGTTCAAAACAGAAACAGAACAAAAAATTGGCCTCCGGCCAATTTATGCGCGGCGCTTCGCGCCGCGTACCGGCGCTACGCGCCGGCATTTGGGGGGCTTCGCCCCCCCATCCGCTTAGCGGATTGGTGCGGGGACCGCACGGGACTTTCTCGCTCGAGCCGGCATAGACACTTTTACTGGAATATTTAGAAAAATACTGCCAATTTTACAAAATCATAAAGTTTGATTGGAATTTTGATCACAGGATAATAGTTATGAAATTTGTATTCAAACCATTGAACTTCATTGTAAATGTCTTCGCGATATGTGGTGAATTCATATATTCGGACTCGACTTGTTGATTTTATGAGGCATCTTCAATTAAATATGTAATTGATTAACTAAGTCTCCTGTCAAAGATGGCGATCCGTAAAAATCTTAGCTTTTCTACGATTCATTAGGATCCATTAGATTCATTGACATCATACTTCAGATACGATTTTATATTATAATCTCTCCTTAAGCACGGTCAAAAGCCATCAAATATCTACTTGAATGGGTAGAATGACTATTCGATGTTCAAATAGTCTTAAAACTAAACGGTTTTCGCTTAGCATCTCCCAAATTTTAAATTTGGCGGGCGAATCTACCTGCTGGAAGGTTCACGACACGCCCGCCAGGAGCGCCATCTCCTTACCGCGTATCCCCGTAACTCAAAGCGAAAACAATAGAGAGCGCCATCGACAAACGTCAACCAGAGACAAGTCAACAAACGTCACGTTACAACAATTATAACCTCCTTCATTAACAAGCATTAAATCAGTCATATTTGTGCCGAATTATTACATTATATTTGTGCTTAGTACCTCGTAAAAAGGAACCGCAAAAGATGGAATCTGCCGGGATTCTAAATTCATTAACAACAAACATATTAGTTTTTAATAAAGATCTAAGTGTCAGTTCTTGGCGTTAGCTTGATGATTCATAGTACCTTTGTAATGTGAGTATGTATCTAATTAGTTGTCTAATTTTGCTTTGTGATTACCTACGGAGTAATTTTGGAAATAGTATATGATGCATTATATAATGCATTTGAATTCCTAGGTTTCACCTGACTCAAAGCGTTTGCTGCTATTATCTAGAAGCGCTCCGACTCATTTATCAGAGAATTGAGCGTTTCCTATCGGCCCCTCTGCAATTATGAGATTAGTCCATGAATCCTTTAGGAACTTAAATTAATGACTCAGATGGTGCTTTTGAGCCAA